TTTTAATTTTATTTATTTTATTTTATTTATTTATTTTTTTTGGAGAGATTTTCGCTATAGGGCGCGTGCGCTCGCCAGACAGACAGAGAGAGACATAGAGACAGAAAGCGAGAAATCACCCCCCAGGGGGGATGGTCACGCTGCAATCCCCTTTCCTCCATTCTCCTCTCGGGATCTTGGGCACGCATGCACATGCGCCCAGTGTGAGTTTTAAGCCACCGGGTCCGGTACGCGAACCACGGTCGACTACGTGGGAATCCAGCAACATAGCCATTACGTCAACTGCTGGTTCCCATATATATTTCAAGTTTATTTCACAAGAGAGAAAAAGATACTGAGAGAGAGAGAGAGAAAGAGAAACACCCTCAACATGGTCTCATACTAAGATCCTTTCCCTGAGTCTTCCCAGCCAGTTAGGATCATGGGGACAGTGAATGACCAGAATGTAGGGATCAATACAGGAACCAACCCCAATCTTCTAGACAGACTCCAATACTGCAGACCATTGTGCTATCACTACACCACTGTGGCTGGGCCTACTTAAAAAATACTTTTTTAGCTTGTTTTATTTTACCATATTGTGCAGAAAATCCTGAAATACCTTCTAGAAGAAGACATAGAGACCAGCAGTTGGCATAATGGCTATGTCGCTGGACTCTCATGTAGTTGACAGTGGTTTGAGTCTGGACCCGGTGGCTTAAACTCACACTGGGAGTGTGTGTGTGCATGCCCAAGATCCCAGGAGGAGAATGGAGGAGAAGGGATTGTGGCACGGCCATCCCCCCTGGGGGGTGATTTCTCGCTTTCTGTCTTTCTGGAGAGTGCATGTGCCCTATACCAAAAATCTCTCCTCCTCCCCCCAAAAAAGGAGGAGGATATAAATGAGTTATATTACAGGAGACAGAAAGAAAAAGTAACCTTTTTTTCACCTTTTTCCTTACAGGTGATCTCCATCTATATAAAGAACTTCCCAAAACACTTTTGTTACTATTTTCTGTCAGTGGTAGCAGCAAATATTTGAGAGAGGTAGTACTTCTTAGAAAACTCATACCTAAAGAATGTTTTAGAATTCTTCCAGATTAATATAATACATAGACATATGTGCACTTATAAGTGCATTTAAAAGTAATCATAAAGGTCCATCTCACAGCTTGGTAATAGAAATTGCTGGATCCCACATGGCCAACTAAGCAGTTCAAGTCCTAGACCCTATAGCTTGAAAAACATGCTGGGTGTGCCCAACACTTCAAAAGGAGGGAGAAATGGAGGAGAATGGATTGTGCTGTGGCCATTCCCCATTAGGTGCTTTTTCATTTTCTCTCTCTAGTGATTACACAAACCCTCTGACAAATTTTAAAAAATAAAATAAAATAACCATGAAGATGACCTAAGAATTTCATAAACATTTCTACACAAGTCTAAGTTAAAAACTTGAACTGTGGCCAGCAGGTGGCGTGGTGGTTAAGGCACTGGACTCCCACATGACTGACAGCGGTTTGAGTCCCAGAGCTGGGAGCTTGCTTTCTCACTTTCCTTCTCTCTCTCTCACTCTCTCTCTCTTTCTCTCTCTGGTGAGCACGTGTGTCCTACAGCAAATTAAAAATAATAATAAATAAATAAATAAATAATAAATAAATAATTAAAAAAAAAAACTTGGATTGAATTTTTCAGTGACTTCCTTCTTCAGTCACAAATCGCATATTCCTCAACAATGAAGGTGGAAATGCTTACAGGCACATGAACTTTTCGAAACATTTCGGCTCCTTTGTGCGCATCCATCAGGGCAATATCCTGGGGCGTGGAGACAATCACAGCACCTAACCAATGATAAACAAAATGATGCTATGGTTTAATTCTATATAGAGAGATTACTTTCTACATTATGTTGCTTACCTGTGTAAACAGTCTACTACACTAATAACAACATGTTAATTCCCCTAAGTTTTACATAAATGAATGAGAAAGATGAGGAATTGCTACTTTGATCTTGCCTATGACTGACTTCTTTTTTATTATTATTATTATCATAATCTTCTTTATATTACATTGGATTACATATAACTTTACAGTGTATTACATCACTTTTTCAAAAGGTAATGCCAAGCATGTCAGTCAATACAGAGACATAATCTCCCCACTTCAACATTCAATATCTTTTCTATGTTTTCCCCAATCATTATTATTATTCTAATTATTTTTTTAAAACAATCACTATTTCTCATTTTGCTTGTAAAAAGACTTTGCCCATCATGAAATACTTCTCAGACCAATCCAGTTGAGAATACTAATGTCCTCCAATTTTTTGCTCTCTATCATAGAGTACAGATAGTCGGTATATATTGAGTGGATATGTACAATATCTTTCTTTCATAGCCTGGCTTACTTCACTCAGCAATAGATCCTCCATATCTGACCACTTTCTATCAAATGCTAGGGTCTTGTTATTTTTTATGGCTGAGTAGTATTCCATAGAGTATATATACCACACTTTTCTAATCCATTCATCAGTTTGTGGATATTTAGGTTGGTTCCAAGTCTTGGCAATTGTGACTAATGCTGCAATAAACATTGATGTGCAAGCACTTTTCTGACTGAGCGTTCTCCTGTCTTTTGGGTAAATACCCAGAAGTGGGATTGCTGGATCAAATGGTAGTTCTATTTGTAGATCTTTGAGGAACCACCATATTGTTCTCACAGTGGATGAACTAGTTTACATTCCCTTTTCACCACATCCCCGCCAACACTTATCACTTTTTATATTCTTAATCTTTGCCTATGGCTGACTTCACACTTTTAAAGTCACAACTGATCCATCAATGATTTAGAATCATAGCTATATCACTGGAACCTTTTACCCATTCAGACAATGTGCTAGTTAGGCATATTAAGGTAAGCCTTACTTTCAGGAAATTAACAGTCTACTTGGGAGACAGTCTCTCAAGTCTCATCTATCTCTATAATTATATGATTTCATATTCTCTCTACTATAGTTTGAATACAACCCCTGAAAATTTATGTGTTGAAGTGGTTATAATGTGATTAAGGAGGTAAAAATATAACATAGTTACAGTGTTAAAAGGCAGAGCCTTTGGAAAGAGATTAGTGATTGGGTGGTTAGGACAGGACCCCGTGATTGAGTCCTGGTGTTTTTATAAGTAGAGAAATGAGGCAGACAAAAAACATGAATATGGACTTTGCTCCACTCTGTTCAAAGTTCTGCTTTCTGTCATTTCATGATGCCTTTGGACTACCCAGCTGTCAGAATCATGAATTATATAAACCTCTATTTTTTATAAATTACTCAGTCTTAGGTATTTCTATTGAGAAATGCAATAACAGACTAAGACATCCTCTCAACTATAGTTTTCAGAACCACCCCTCCTCAACCTGACTGCCCCAGCAAATCTTATTTAAATGAATATGAAATGCTACCTCCTCTAAGAAGTACTGCCCCTCAATCTCAGAGCCATTCTCTTCGTAAGTATACAGGGATCCTCTCTGGCTATTTCCTCCAAATCACCTTCAGAACCATATCCTAGCATGCATATAGGAGGCTGTCTACTACATTGGCTCTAAAAAGCAATCTTAGCTTTCGTATGATATAAACATGTTATTTATAAAATACTCTTTTGTATCATGACTACACAATATAGTTTCAAAGACTTATTTTTTTTCATCTATTTATCAAACAAGGCTAATCACACAATATCTTGCACGAAATAGGCATATATCAAAAGATTAGCAATTTAAACTATTTTCCAATATTTGCAGACTCATCTATCCTAGATTCCTGCAGCATGAATTTTTAACTGGTAACTCCTTGAAGTAGGATTCAAGAGCTCTGGGTATTGGTTTTGTTGACTATGATAAGGTACTATATAACCTTGAATAAATCATTAAATCTTAATGCATCTCAATTAACTCCTCTAAAATATGAACTTTTTTCTACTGACCCTATTTAACTTAGAGTTGTTCCATTAAAAAAAGAAAAGTGTTATAAAAAGGTTCATTGGCATTATTTTGATACTTGTAAGATCCCAGAGAGAAATTAAAGTAACTTGGTCTTCTATGTACTTAACCCTAAAAAAAAATCTCAAATAAGCATCCATGTCATCTAAATTTCCTTATAGTCTGAATAGTCCCATTCAAACAGTAACAGCTTTTTAAAAATTTATTTATTTCTTCCATGAAAGACAGAGATAGAGAAATGGACAGACATCCACAAGAGGGCCTTCATACTCAGCTTCAGCCAGCTCAGATTACATCCAGTGAGCAGAAGGAGGCCAAGAGACATGAACTGGGGACCTTCTCCAGAGGTCCAGTTGTGTTATCACTGTGTCACAGTCCGGCCCAATAAATGTTTTGTCAGTGGCAATGATCACCTTCATGATGTAGTAAATGCTCATAAAACTTATAAAAATCCTATTGGAATTGCCAGAAACATTTACATATGCTATGTTAATGTAAGATTTTTCCACAAAATATATATTATTAATTAGTGACTAAGTCTTTAATCATGACATAATCAGCCTTTAGGATATTGTACTGAAAAATTTTTTTTCTGGTCTTTCTTGAAAAATACAAAAACCTAACTGGTCCACACAAAGCACTATCTTTGTTGAACCAAAATGCAGTACATCATAAGTAACCATTTCAGACATCCCTCCAATAAAATTAAATATAATTAATTTTTAATCAATTTATGCATCATAATCCAGAGTTTTAAATTTTAAAGAAATTAGGTCAGTTTTCCTTGTATCACTCAGCTTTTGAAATATGGTCTCCAAAAACAGATACTACATTTTCTCTGGATGACTCTTGACCTTCTAACTGGTAAATTTTAAATTTTCTCATAGCTCATTAAACATGAAACCAGTCACTTATGATGTCATTTCAGTTTTGTGATGTAGGTCTGTTAGAAAGCTTGTGCTCCCCCTACTGACCATAAAGAAATGTCAGCAGCAACGAAAAGAATGAATTCCTAGTTTGCGATAAATGGAATTATTTTCTGGGGCAACAACACCTATCTCTAGAATTACATCAAGAATTCTCTCTCTATTGTCTAGGGTAAATGTCTAAGTCTAAACAACTAAATAATATTTAAATGCTATTCCTCAATTTGTAATCTTTTTTAAAAGACTTTTTATCAGCTAAGATTTACTATAAAAGGTTAATTAGCTGGTAGATTCTGGAAATATGTAAACATCATACAAAATAATTATTGAGAATATTGTCTTAATTGTTAATTCTCTTGACTAGTAAGAGGAAAATCTATTTATAACTGTATATCTGGATTTGGTCAGAGTTCAGAGTAGTTAAACATTTAAAACTGATTATTCCAGATGTTAGGCTGATCATAATTACACCAGTGTGGAACCACTCAACTATGCATTCTAGTCTCCAGGGCATAGACTGTATCTAATTCCCAAGCTCGATAGAGAATTTCAGTGTTAGAACATAATAAACGCATACAACAAACCTGCTCAGAATTACACCTAGAGGAATAATTCTATACCTTACAATTCTTAAGCACATCAATGTAAAGTTAACCAAGACTTTAACTGCTATTCTTAATGTTCAATATATTCTTAGTATTTAGTGCTGCTATTCTCCTTGATTGATTCAGAGTCACATGTGCAACAAAAGAAAATAATCATTTAACTTCTACTGGCTTAATGTAAACAATGTCAGATATATTTACAATTTTTCATTAACTATAAAATACATTGGCTTTGGGGTATTTTCTTTTCGTGCTCTTTTGTCTTCCTCCTCTGTCACTCCCAAACTCACTGCATTAAAAACATTATTTACTGTAAGATCAAGGAATGCCCACTAATATCAGAATCAGCTTAAGTAAAATATGATTTAAATGGTAAATTCACCTCAATTACACACTGTGTTTCAACAGGAAATACAAATACTTTCTAAATTAGTCATTATTTTAGACTTTGGTCCCTGCCAACAGAGTGGAGAATTGACTAAAGTCACAAAGAAAATATGCTTTATTAACTTAAAGATCAATTGTTACTTTGCTTACCTCAGAAATGCATTTTGCTACATAAAATTATGTTTATTGCTGCCAAAAAGAATTATCCAATATGATAATTAGTGGGAACCACAGTATTTCACAGTTACTGGTGAGAGTGTCTATATATTCTTTGGAATTCTAATTAAGAATTCTATTTCATCAAAGAAATCTGGATATATCTCTGCCATTGAGGGATAAAGGCTGGTTCTTCAATATAATGGAGTCCACAGGTAATGGCCTTTTGGGCACTTCACCTTAATAATCCACAAAGAATTAGCAATGGCTATCCAGGCTACATTCACTAAGGAAGCACTGGGGACAAGGGAGGCTTGCACGGATTTTAAAGAGCATGGGAAAGAACCAGACAGCTTGGTCTTGTGCATGAGTTTTCTCTCCCTGCTCCCTGGCTCTCTCCGCTCTCTCATCCTCATTTCCCTTCCTCCTTCTGGTGTCTCTAGTAAAGTTAAGATAAAATCCTCCCTTCTTTACAGTCTATGCTGATCAGCAAATACCTTGGAGAGCCTACTTATACACATATGTCTCTACAACTCAGAAAACATTTTTGCTCTTCTGTGAGCATCTGTTCATGCTGAACTCTTAAGATTTAATATTTTGCATTTCAAATTCTGTTAGGTGAACACACACCTCAGCCTACTCATGATGGCAGTGAACCATTACCAAAGGCTGTTGGTTTAATAATAGAACACATTCTTTTTTATACGCATGCTTTCTCTAAAAGAAGCTCCAGAGGGGAGGACAGCTACTCTCTGATTACCCTAACTTTATTTA